GAAACCTTTCCAAGAAACAGGAGAAAGGAAGTTGGAGCTAAAATTAGTATTTCGCAAATTTGTTGCATTGTTTACCAAGTAAATATCAGTGGACCGAGTCGAAAAACTTGATTAAAGGTTTCAAACCCGTTTTGAAGGTGCTTCAGCAAGAGGCAGAACTAGGCAAAAAATTCATTTTGACGTGGTAAGTATATTAAAAGAACACGGAATAGTCACAAGCACCTCACAAATTGATCGTCAAACAGTGGGAGCTTCTCGAAAGTTAGAAAGAACATACAACGAGTTGTTACGAATTAATAGGCAAAATATGCCGAAGGCTCTGGTCTAAAATCAACAATTTAGGGCAGGTTTGCTAAAGCAGGAGATTAATATGACAACATTGTCCGAACCTTGTTTATTAAAACTTAAACATGCCTTAAGGACATTTAACGGGCCATTTAATATTTCGTGGTCCAAGCTTTCTTAATTACCAATAATTGTGACTTCCCATGGGCATTTGGGGTTTGACTGCGGTCCAAAGTTAATGATTGTGTAAGGCAGTCAAGGCCTGCTTTTTCAACGTAAAAGGGGACAAAAGATCCTCTTGTCAAAACTGTCCGAACCTTAAACGGCCTGGTGTACCTTGACTACCTTTGACTCAACTAAACGCAGGTTAGAGGTTTTGAAGTTTAATTAATTTAAGATTTAACGCTATACTGCGACAGAATTAAAGATTTTTGGCGAAGCCTAAATTATGCTATTATCTCCACCGCCGAGAAAAATTCGATCGCATCAGTCTGAATTATTTCCCTAAAAATTACTGTGGGGATCCAAAGGAGCAAGCCTTATGTCTTAAAATCCGCATTTCTGACCAATTATTTTGTGTGACAAACAATTTTTTGACCAATTATTTTGTGTGCGCATTTTGACGGAACTCAGTTGTTATCGATTTTCCAGAAAATATATCGATATTCAGCCAAACGAAGTGTGCTGCAATTTGTCGCAGATTAAGGTGTAATAAAGTTTAGAATATGAGAGAAATTAATTTTTCTAATGTTGGCATCAAATGTTTGATGGTTGATTACAATCGCTCTTCAAAACCGAACGGGAAGTTTTCCACTCTTAAGTTTGCAGTCAATTCGCTTCCACATTTTATTTTATAACACGCAGAAGGGAATTAGACCAGTGCTAAGCAGGCAGTGGTAATATTTATATATATATCAATGAAAATCAATTCTTTTTTATTAACGTCGCTGTGAACAGTCAAATATCTGAAAACATGATAGAATTAAAATTTCACGTCCCGTGTGATCTGTTGGTAGGACTAAGTATTTTATGCAATTCTAAATAAAAAAAAAAAAAAGAAACAGCTGCAAAACTGGACTTTTGCCTCTCGAATTTAATAGAGCTCTTTTTAGCTGCAAAAACGTCGAGACTAGTTGAACCGAATAAATAAAGTCAATAATGCCATTATCAACCTCTTCATATCCACATGCTTCTACCGACTATAAAGGCTTTCTACCTATTTACTTTATTTAATTACATCATCATATAATAATATAATTTCTATTAATTTATGTTAGTCATGACCTCCTTTGAGAAGAATCGTATCCGTAAAATAAGTTAGAGATAATTCCTTGGAACAGACGCGTTCGACAAAACATTTTGAAGTTGATCTGCGTTTGATCTGCGTCGTATTTGGTGGACTCCTTTGCGTTCTCAAAATTTGGTATTCCGAGCGTTTCCGTAATTAGAAACTCTGAACTTTAAAATTTCAAATACTTTAAAGTTTCAAATGGAAATGTTTTCCCCCAAATTCGCCTTAACTGTAGCCTTAAAATATTTGTAAGCGATCTTCCGGAACTTTTTCTGTTACCGCCGAAAACGAGAATAAAACGCCAAGAATGAAAACAATTAGAAGGAATAGCAACGATCACTTAGTGAGCCTTCGGCTTCGGCTGATAACCCCTACCTCGACCTTGATTATTCTGGATATCACAAAAACCTCATCCAATAATTGTTTATAATGGCCGGGTTACTTACTTGTCTTCAAGTTATGCAATTTGACGTTTATTTTGCAGCAGTTGTTACTTCACTGTTTAAAGTAAAAACGCGACGATACATTTTGCAGAGTGACTGTATTCTACTGTCGGAGTTGCCACTAAAACCACTAATCAGGAATTGAAGTTTCCTATTTACAAGGTAAGGAACACTTTCTAAGCATTTTTCAGGTACTTTATTATTATAGTTTTATCCTCTCAGCTGAAAAAAAAAAACATGCTCAATGCTATAATGATAGTTCTTCGAAATCATTATACATTCAAATGCAAAGTCAGTTGAGGTTTTTTAAAACAATTTGAAGAAGAAACGGTAAAAGCGCGTGACGTTTCGCCCGAACTTCGGTAATTATCAAGCATAAAACTGACTGTCTCATTTACGAATTAAGTTTGATACCCCTCTATTCAGATCGAGGGGGGACCTTTTGAGGCCCACATCAAATTTGAAATTTTGAAAGCATCAAAATCAAACTCCAGATTTGGTGACTTTTCCAGAAATTAACTGGCAACAATTTTTGGTATAGAATGTCATCGGTAAAGGATCTTGATGTTTTCATAGCTATTTTTGCCCATTTGGTCGATTTTGACTATTTTCCTCCAAATTTCTAACGTTTCGTAAAGATCATGAAATCCTTGATGACGGACTAAGATCGCAGCTCTATAGAAATGATGACGTCAAAGGAAATATTTTAGGACTTGCAATACGTCCTCCAAGCTTTTTCGCATTAACTGTCGATATTTGGAGTTTACACAAATTGTTGAAAATATACAAAAACAGCCATGTTAAAAACAACAACAGACAACAGCTGTTTTTCAATACCTCAAAAGACAAAATGACTTCCTGCACATTGATGTAAGCATTGAATTCCTGTTAATTTCATGTCTTCTACAGTTAGTAAAAGAACCTGACAAAAACAAAGTCATTTCCTTCCACAGGCAGACGAGTAATTAGTTCTAACAGCAACAAGAAAAAGACAGAGCTCTGAGATGTCTTCACCCGACTGCATAACCTGGATGACTATAGGCTTAGTCGAGTCTGTTGCCATAGTAACACTCAACCTCTGTACGATAATTGTTTTTATAAGAAACTGTAATCTCCGCAAGCGTAGCACGTACCTGGTGATAAATTTGGCAGTTATAGACACGCTGGCTGGAGGAGTCGCTGTGTATGCTCTGTTCTATTGGTTTGGAGTAATCTGTGAAGTATGGAGGGGGCATCTAAATGTAGGTTTGCAAGGTTATATAGTAGAAAATCTACTTGTTTTTTTTCCTGGTATGTCCATATTTAACATATCCCTTATTGCTTTAGAGCGGGCGTATGCTACTTTTCGGCCTTTAAGGCATCGCCTGCTAAAAAAATGGGTATATGGCCTACTAATTGCCTGTGGTTGGGTTGGACCTGGGTTGCCAATAATTACTTTGGAAC